CACTGTAGCAAGTAGTAGATGAGCCAAGACCTAAATACAGACATTTTGGCCCTGGAACCACTATGCTATATTGCCACTAAGGAAATAGGTGTTTTCCTGTCCTCCACGATCTCTACCCCCAAAACACTTTCTTTGGAGTCAGACTTTTGTTTCCACTGAACAAATTAACTGGCAAGAGTCTGGGTGTCCTCTTTTGGTCGGGTTGGGCTGTCAGAGGTACTGCTCCTCAAATGCAGGTGTAAGTTAAAGACCACAGAGAAGTTCCCACTCACGTAGGGTAGATCTAATTGTGTATGTATGTTGGGAATAGTGGATTATGATGGGGAGGAGAGGGGTGTCGGCTGAAGCTCTCTGACTGAGATTTTGTGTATTTCTGGTGTACTTCCATTTGTAAACTGATGGCAGGATGCTCCTCTCCCTTAACTGAACAGATGAGACTAAGGTGCAAGAAGCGTCACCAGGGGTGTTGATGAACTCATGTTTGAGACAATGCCTGTTTTTCTTTAAGCTGGATTATTGTATTGGTTTCGCGGGACTGTCCTAATAAAGTATCACAGATTGGGTACCACAACAGAAACTTATTTTCTGGTAGTTCTAAAGTCTGGAAGTCCTAGATCATGTTGGCTGTGTTGGTTCCTTCAGGCTATGACAAAAGGACCTGTACCAGGCCTCTGTCCTCGGCTTGTAGACAGCTGTCTTCTACCTGTGTCTTCACATCAGCTTCCTTTTGTAGATGTCTGTGTCCAAATTTCTTCTTCTTATAAGGACACCAGTTATGTTGAATTAGGGCCTAGTCTGATAACCTCATTTTCATGTAATTATCTCCTTAAAGAACCCATCTCAAAATTTGGTCACACTGTGTGGTACTAGGGATTAGGACTCTAACATACAGATCTTGTGAGGGACACAATTTAGCCCTTAACAACTATACAGCAGCAGATATGCCTCCCCTCATAGAATTTCTCTTGCCCTAATGCAAAGCATATTCATTGGCTGAGTGGTAAGTGACAAATGAGTTATGAATTAATTCTGATGCATTATAAGGGGGTTGGGATTATCTTGTGAGTTGAGAAAATACATAAATAATTAAGATGTGAAAAGCAATATCTATTACTGGCCTTGGGTTCCAACCAAGGGGTCTTCGAGGAGTTGTCTGAGAGCCTGTGGAAGTCATTCTTTTCGTCATTCTGTTAACTGATGTTGCTGGATGCTTTGTTTAGGGAGGCTTCTGTTGGTCCTCTTTCCCATGTGCAACAAACGACCTGATTCTTCTCCTGGTCCTGGCCACAGCAGTGTTGGTTGTGCTCGGTGGCAAATGCTTAGACTTGCTTCTATTAGAATCAATGTCCAAAACCTCAATTTAGATATACAAGTTCCTGTGCACAGCTGACTCTTCCCTCTTCACCATGTCACAGATCTCTCCACCGCATAAGCTGATTGAAGGCACTTGCAGTTGCTATAGGAAAGACATGGCAAAGAACTTTATCCTGTTTGGACCAAAGTTTCAGCTTCTTGTGCTGTTAGAATGAATAACATTCCCAGTTTCCTCCCAGACAGTGGACTTCAGTGAATGAGGAACAGTTGTAGCTGTAATGCAACTCTAAAAGTTATCAGTCTCTCATGCTTCTTACTGCCTATGCTTGCTCCAATAGCTTTTCTTCACTTGCTCAGCCCTTTGGTTTATTGATGCCCAGCAGTAGTTCAATATTTCTCAACTTCTTCTAGGCACCTGTTTTCCTAATAAGAGCACACTGCTTCAAATCTTAAAGGTATTCAAGGTTTACCCAACATCTATAATAAAACACCCTTTATATCTCCAGCTCCTCTGTAATGTCAAATGATGAGAAATCCATTGCCTTGGGAAACATGTCTTTTCATTTTTGAAGAAACTTTATTTTTTATAGCATTTATTTTGTTTTGTTTTTGAAACTTGATGTTTATTCTACCTCAGTATCATGCATTGCTCCTGGTCTGCTCTCGGTCAGTCATACTCAGTCAGTTGAATCCGTCTCCCACTTGACCGCCATTGCACATGTGAGGACAGGTAGTGTGTCCGGCCTGAGTCTTCTGTACCCCAGGTTAGGTCGTACTGTAACTGCCACCTGCCACCATGGTTTTAGGTGCCATTCTCTGGCTCTTTTTGGGGGGCCTCAGTTCTCTGAGATGGTCCTAATGGTTGCTAATGGATTAAAAATGAAAACATGCTGAGAGTCCTTTGCACCTTTCAGGGCTTAGATCAAATGTTACCTTCTCTGTGAGGTCTTCCTTGATCTTACTCAAATGCCAGACAATTAACAGCTGTGTTTTTAGTGTTCTCATACCACCCTGTACGTTACTTTGCTATAACACTTAGCACAGTGTGTCACAAATATTGATTGACATTTTCTCTGTCTGTTATATTTTGACCCTGTCTTTGATGAGGGACTATATCTTGCTCATTACAGTATCTTCTGTTCCTGGCTCAGAATAAAGGATGTTATTCTGATGTTAATTGGCTGCTTTGCTGATTGAAGAAACCAAAGTTCAAATTCCAGATAACATGGCTGGTCAAAAGGAAATTTGGGGTGGTTCTCAGACCAGACCCTTTGAGGAAAATCCTGGATGCATATACTGGAATGAGCTAGGCTGGACTGAAAGACTCGTGGGGAATGGATGGTGCAGCCTGGCCCACTGCTGAGACTACCCCAGAGGTTTCAGGATGCTCCAGCGCCAACCATGGCTTGCAGCCCTAGTGTCAAGTTATACCTGGTGTCCCTAACCCTCACTCCAGTTAATGAGGCTGTCTTTTTCCCTCTTGAGTAATTGATTATCAGGGTTGTTTTTTTCTACAGTGTACTTTTCTAAGATGAGGGTGGAGGCCAGCATTATCAAGGAATGATTTCTTCCCAGAAAGAGAAGAAACCAAAATGTATGTCCTCTTAGTGAAGACACATTGTCTAAGAGATTTTGGTCAGCTTGCTATATCATTTGCTTATGTGCTGATGTTACACAAACACTGTCCTGGGTATCTTTTAGTTCCTGAATGTACTGGGGGCAGGCCTCAGACCTTCTTGAGATAATCCTCTTTCTCCAACCAATAAACATGGCTCTTTATCTTTTGGTCAACTTTATTAAGATCCTCTTGCAACTAAAATATGTTCTGTTAGGCTGGGAAGGGCTCATTCTATTCATTTTCTCAAGCCTCTTCTCTGTGGTGGTCCTTATTCACTCACTTATCCCAGAGGGTAGATGGAGACCTATAAAACTGTTACCTATTCTTCAAGGACAAAAAATCCAAACTTTGCTCTTGCCCTAATCTGTGACTAGTTTTATCAGCAACTGCCTTTTTATTTTATCATTTTTGAATGAGTTCAATATGTGAAAGATAACCTGGTAGTTAATAACACCACAAGATTTCCCAACAATCCAGCTACTGAGGTACAAGGCGGGGGGGGGGGGGGTTGGGATAGTCTCCTATAAGACCTGATATGACAGTTCCTATCATGATCTAGCATGTTTATTGAAGATAGCTTTGCAGGATTGCCTCACATGGTATTCAGTATTTGGCACAGCTTAAAAGCAAATTCTCAGAAATAAATAAATACAGAGTTTTCCCATCTAAAGTGGGGTGGAAGGCTTATTGGGATGCATGGCGGATACCGTGAAAGCTTCATTCTAGGCCCGTGGACCACGTGGGAGGGACTACTGCTGCTCTCTCTGTGCTCTGAACATATAGATGAGAAGTATTCGAAAACTTTCAGAGGGAGAAACACCAAAAATTAAATAAAGATCACCTTTGATGCTTGAAGTTGAATTATTAAAAAGCAAAATCACTTTATAATAAATATTTGGAATTGAAACCTACTTATATTTTCAATCTTGAAAATATAAATAGGTTTATGGAGAGTATTATTCAGGAAAAATTGCTACACGGCACGGACAGCTAACTATGCCTGGGATCTGGTTCTAGTTATGTGTGGTCCTTGTTGTAGAAGCCCAAATGACCTACCTCAAACCTGGGGTACAGAATCACTGTTGAAGATAGAATCTGGACATGGATGTGGCCCAGGATATGAGGGTGTATTTCTTGTGCTCTAAGCTTGTAGGACCTCATTGTATTGTAATGCTTAAGGGTGTTGGTGAGGCTCTGCCATTCCACAGGAGGGGAGGACTGGATATAAGCATCTTCCTTTTCCACTAGTAAACAAGGTAAAAGAGGGTGAATGCAGCCTTAAGAATTCAAGACACGTTTATTAAGATGCATCTGAGCTTGAGGCTGTCCTGCAAGGAAAGCTGCATTCGGAGGCGAAGGTGGGGTGGGGAGCAGCATTGGTGGACAGTTGCAGTTGCAAATGCAGTTGTCAAGGCAAGGAGAGAGGCGGTTGCTTAGTATTGAAATCATGTATTCCAGATGTGGGCATTTGGTAGTCAATCTGCTCTGAAGTGACATGCTGCTGAATCTTTAAAGGGCTTCAGCTGGGAAGAGCAAAATCTGATTGGGCAAATTGCTAAAATATTTAAAGTGCAGCCTGTTAAAGCTTTTACTGCGAAGAAAATCATGTCAGAAGTTGTAGTCAGAAAGAGCAGGTAATTGGCTTTCCATCCTCATGCCAGTCAGTCGGCATGAGACTCTATCCCTATTCCTTCCTCTTCATTGCCAATGCTAATAATAACTGTGTGGGGGGGGGAGGGGGTGCTGAGAGATTGTATAGCTGGAAAATGAGAGGGGGAGAAAGAGTGAGGTCTTCATAAAAAGGGAGATCAATCCACAAAACAACGTGGAGGCCATTTTAGAAAAAGGGGACTAGGAGAGAATGGCAGGATTATTACCTGACAGAGGTCACCTGTACTTCCAAGTGGTGGTGGTTCGGGGCAGCTGTCTTTCAAGCATAAGAATGGCCTTCAGTAACAGCCACTTCCCCTGCGTGTTTCAGTCTCCTCTGAGATGTAACTCAGGGGGTACTTTTCATTTATCATTTATCACATTTTCCACTTAGATTTTCCTCTCCTTTTCTCCCCAGGCATGACCCCTTGTTAATTCCTGGCAACGATCAGATCGACAACATGGACTCCAACGTGAAGAAGTATGACTCTACTGGGATGTTTCACTGGTGCGCACCCAAGGAAATAGAGAAAGTCATCCTGGTGAGTGACAGACAGCGTAATCGATGCCATCCACTCAGGTCCCAAACTATGTCGTTTGCTAGGAATGTGGTTTTCCAAACCAGGTAGTGGTATTGTACAGTCCTAGGTCCTAATTACTTTTGTTAAAATTCAGAACATATATTGAAGTAACTGGAACTCTCATCCGAACATGAACCAAGAGTAGAATTTTCCATCTCTGAGTATTTGTTGGTGCGTTACCATAGGGTCACATGCTGTGTGAAAGGCATCAAGGGAGGCCATATGTGCCATAAGTTCTGTGGATGTGGCTCTGGGGCCAGGGCCTGCCTGTGCCATTTAGTAGCTGCACCGCCTTGGGCAATGCACATGACCTTACACTTCAGTTCTCTTGTTTGTAAGAAAAATGAGGTGAGAATGACCCTAACTTATAGGGTTGTGGTGAAAATTAAAATTCAACTTATGACTGAATAAAGTTTCCTATTATCATAATTATGACTGGTAAATTTCATGAAGAAATCTGAACACCGCCTATATTATTATGTGTTTATAACATTTTCTTGTATTCATCTAGATAATGGTTTTGCATATTTGTGATCCTTCTTAGCACAAAATGTAGACAAGTAAAGTGCTAATGATAACAATGGTGAACCAGGGGTCATCTTGGGAAGGCAGGAGCTCCTAGCCCTTTTTCTTGGTTGGCTCATCTCTGTAGCAGCTATGGGCTTTTCTAGTTTGTCTCAGGCATGTCAGCATAGATAACAATCCATTCTACTCTGTAGAGTTGCCTTATTAACAGCCTAGGGTTTTAATGCCTACATGAGCCTTCCCACAGCTTACTCTCTTGCTTATTATCCATAGAAAATGATCAGATTAATGATCAGAAAGGTCAGATGAAAGGGTTCTTTCTCCCTTGTGCCTCTAATTCCCAGATTGCTGTGGCCTGCTCCCTTATAGGAGCCAGGAAAATCTGATCACTTCTGATGATGTCATGGCCACCTTTCCTAAAAAAGAACTGTGCCAGTTCCTCTAAGTGGCCTTGTGCTCCAACCCACTAGAATTTTTCCTGTATTTTATCTGAATGAGTATGTTATCTCAGTGTAATTGTAATCAAGTATTACAAGCCAAGATAGCACTGTGTCACAGCATTGTGTTGGAGACTGTCTCAGAGGTGTGAATGTTGTAGACAAACACACACACAGTCAGAATTCTCAGGAAACAGCCATTGTCCAACTTACCCGGAGTACGAATGGTTCTTACGCATTTACAGAGGTGCTTTTGCATTTACATCCTGGTGTTGCGCCCACTGCATTTTTGCTGTGGTGATCAAAACTCAGTCTCATGTTACCCACCCCTAGCAGGTCAAAGGCCGAGTGCCAAAGCTGGGATCCAGGGTTTGGGTCTTCTATCTTCATATATGCTGGGGTATTGTTGGCTGTTCGTTCTGTTCCTCCGTAGATCAGCTAGGTTTTTTTCCTATGTGTAGGGGAAAGTAGAATCCCGCTCCCTCCTACCTCATTGCCATGTTCAGTCTCTCTGGGATCCGGGGTTTTAATAAATAACAGACATCCAGTCAGAGTTCCCTACTATCAGGAAAGAGTTTAGGGAAATGAGTTACTACTTTTCCCATCTGAAAAAACATCATTTACTAAAATTTTATGACAATCTTTTATGTGCTAGGCATGGCTGTTGTTGCTGGAGTGGAGCCTCTGACCTCTGCTCTCATAGAGTTTGTCTTCCAGTGGGGGCTAAGAGAAGATCTTCAGGTGGACAAATGAATACGCAACATGTCAGACATAGATAAAGTGCTATGAAGAAAATAAAGCAAGGTCATGGGCTAGAAAGGAACAGGAGGATGCTACTTATTTATTTAATCCTCACCCAAGAAAAAAATCTACTCATCTTGGAGAGAGAGAGAGGGAAAGAGAGAAACATTGATTTGAGAGAGAAATATGGATCGGTTATCCCCGTATGTGTCCTAACAGGGAACTAAATGAACAACCTAGGTATGTGCCCTGACCAAGAATCAAATCTGTGAACTTTTGGTGCACAGGACAATGCTCCAACCAACTGAACCACACCAGCCAGGGCTAGAGAGATGCCATTTAGACATTGGGGTCCAAGAGGCCTTCTGTAAAGTCACACTGGAGCAGAGATGAGGATGCTTAGAAGATGCTCTGTGGTGTGGGTACCCTAACTGCTTTGGTTTAGGACACTAAACGGCTTTAGGGGTTAGAAATTATGTGATGGCCTCAATGTCAAGGAAGTGATCATCTAACTGAAGAGAAAATATACAATACAACCGTGAAACAATACATTTAACACTTCATGTTAAGAGGCACGAAGTAGTAGTCACATCTAAGGGAGAAGACTGGCATGCATCTAAGTGACCAGGAAGCCTTATTGGAGACAAACAAATTGTGCTTCAAAGGGTTTGAGGTCATTAAGGCCCAGCTTGGGGTAGGCCTTGGAGCATGTGTGGGAGACACAGGACGTACGTGTGAGTAGTTTTTCTTGTGGGTCTTAAACCTGGCACAATCAGATTCTCTAGGGCTGAGGTCCAGGAACTGAAGTCTTTACAAGGTTCTCTAGGTAATTTGTGGTGGCTAATCTGAGGATTGGTGTCTTGGTCCCTGTATCTGTTTCCAAGGTCGGCATCTGTGCCTCTGCCTTCCCCACCTCCATATTCTAGACTCCTTGCCTCTCCTCTGGACCCAGTTTGGATTCCTCATGCTTATTGAAGGGAGCTAGCTACCAGGTGATCTGGCCAATTCAAAATAATTAGGGGCCCCATCACATCACATTACAGACTAGTTGACCCTCTGTTGGTGGTACCCAGGCACACACACTTCGTGCAGCCAAGATAACTAACTCCAGGTCTACTACTCCACGAAATGGTGATGTGGGTTGTGACTCCCCACTTGGTCCTCCTTGGTATCAGTTTATAAAACATTTCTTACAGCCTGTGTCTTTGGTGTTTCTGTGCTCTTTCAGGGGGAAACCAGTAATGGTGACAGCCCCTGTTTTATTCTAATGCTCGGGGAGTAAAAGCTTCTTCCTCTCTTTGGGGGTTACTGTAATAACCCTGGCATTGTTGTGAATGGCAATATTGGCATTTAAACAATCAATACACGGGCCGATTCTAGGGATTAAATGGAGCAGAGTTTGATATGTGCAGTGGACATTAATGTGCCTCTCCAAAAGCACTGTAAGCCGCACAGGGCTATCCAGGCATTCAGTGGGTGGACAGGGAAGAAAGAAGGCAAGAGGGGAGGTATTGGACCAGAAGGAGAGGCAGACAGAGGCCCACAGCTGGCCTTCTTGTGTTGTTCTCTCCACCAACTCAGTGAGCAAAACAACCAGCAGTGGCTCACATTTCCATTTCCTGGGAAGCTGGTGTCCACCTCTAATGGAGTGATTTGATTCTTTCGTTTGTCTCCTTTGTAGATACAGGCCTAGGGCTGTGGAAAGACATGATCTGTTCTTGCTCTTGCTGATCTTGCCCTAGATCTTTTTCATTATTTTTTTGAAACCTCTCTTTGGTAACATGTGCAGGTGAGCCACTCTAGGCATATGCTCCTGGAGAGCCCAAGGCAGCAGTGGACAGGGGTCAGCACACTTTCTGTACAGGGTCATATAATACATTATTTAGGTTTTGTTGGGCATACTGTCTCTGTCACAGTTAATCACTCTGCCATTATAGGTAAAAGCAATCATAGGCAATACCTAAATGAATGAGATTGGCTGTTACAATATAATTTCATTGGAATTTGAATACCATATAATTTCCACATATTGTGAAGTACTCTTCTTTTTGTTTTTTTCCCAACAATTTAAAAATGTATAAATCAATCTTAGCTGCCAGCCATGGCTGTACAAACTATGGTCTGAGGACCATCGTTTGCCAATGCCTGGTATAGGATATCGTGGTCTACCTACGGATGCGATGACTTACTTATCATCTCACAGATGAATCTAGAACTCAAAACTCAAATTTCTTGAGCTGAGACCAACATAAAATCTGGTCAGTCTATCCTCATCTCAGCAAGAGAAGCAGAAAACATGGTTCATTTTATAAATAATTTAATAGAAACTTAGTCTTCCCTTTCCAAATAACATTGCTATTCCCTCTGATTTTCCCTCTGAAAATTGTTATGAAAGAAATCCTGCTCATATGCATGTATGGCATATCTTTTCAGAAATTTTTTATCAAAAAGGTAGTGATATGTATAGATATATGTTTCAGTATATTTATTACACCAGTATAATATATGAGTATACACACATACTGTATTTTTCAGACTATAACATGCACCCCCTCCCCCCCAATTTGGGAGGAATAATGGTTGTTAATGTGGCTGTTAAGTTCTGTTTACATTTACATTTGGTGAAATATTATGTTAGTTATGTTATAAATATTTTACCACATTTTTTGATTAAAAAATTTTTTTTCCTATTTTCCTCCCTCAAAACTTAGGTGCATCTTATGGTCCAAAAAATATGGTGCTGAAATTGTAATTCTATATAACACCGTTGAAATAAATATAATAGCATATAATAGCACGTAGTAAACACTCAATAAATGTTTACTCAATGCTTCACACTCATGATTTTCTTAGTTCTAACCACAGCCCTGTGAGGTCATCTCTCCAATGCTCACGCACTTCTCCCTGTTGCAGACGCGAAGTGAAGCAGCCATGACCGTCCTGAGTGGCCACGTAGTGGTCTGCATCTTCGGCGATGTCAGCTCAGCCCTGATTGGCCTCCGGAACCTGGTGATGCCACTCCGTGCCAGCAACTTTCATTACCATGAGCTCAAGCACATTGTGTTCGTGGGCTCCATTGAGTACCTCAAACGGGAATGGGAGACGCTTCATAACTTTCCCAAAGTGTCCATATTGCCTGTAAGTCCATGGTCACATTATTGATGGATTTTTTCCCCATCCTTTCATTCACAAAAGAAAATCCCATATGGATGTAATAGTTATAGCAATTTGATCATGCCTCCGCTTCTTTATCTGGTTGTGGGCCTGAGGACTCAGCTCTTCTCTGTGCTCTCCATCTAGGAATATCTAAACCCTGGGGACTTTATTAGAGAGATCTGCAGCTCTACTCAGTTGCTCATCAGACATGAAGTTTAGCTGGTATCAAATGTACTAACCACATCAATGTCTGAACACTCTCTTACCTATCCAAACCCAGTGTCATGGGATGTTATGATGTCTAGAGCAGAATTTCCTTATGGGACTATTTATTTCATTTTATTTATGATATTATTCATGCTTGGGGAAACCTTGATTGAACCACATTCTGTTTTGAACTAAGTGCGTGTGATAAAGCCCTTGGTTTACTTTTGCTGTACAGAAGGCCGACCCCTTGTGCTGGTCAGCCTTTGCCTCTAATTCATTTAGAAGCCCAGCAGTGTTTGTGTGGGTTTCTGTATGGGCCTGCAATGTGTGTGCCTGTGATATTACTCAGTGCAAAACACTGCTACCCAAATCTAAAAGGAAGTAGTCCTCACACTACTGTCCAATGTAGTGTGAGGACATGGGATGCATGACCTGGGAGTCATGTAACTAACTACATCCTCGTTATCGATCAATATATTTGCCATTAATGTTCAAAAATTATATTGCACATGTCAATATTTTATGTAATTCTCTATGTCACAAATCCAGGCAAATATCACTCATTCTTTACATATTTTTTTTGGAAGTTCACATCCCTAAGACTGAGGAACATGAATTTGAAACTACATTTCTAGAGGGCTGGGTTTTTCCCCACTTACAGAGCTGAAATTCATTATTTCTACTATCAGCTTTCAGAACCTCAGAAGTGGACAAAATAGTAAAGTAATATAATTCACTAACAACACATAAGACTCTAGCTACAAGTAATACATATTAGTAGGAGCCATTTATTCTTATGCATGCCTGGCACAATAGGTGTTCAATAAATTTTTAAAGACTTGAGAAAAATGTAGACAGACATCTCTTGGTTTCTGGGCCCAAAACTCACTGACTTAATAAACACATGTAATTGACAATACGCACCTACAAAAAATAAAGAGTTTAAACAGATATGTGCCTTGCTAATTTCAGACATCATCTATTTAACCTTGTTTTCCCATGATCATCTTCCTACGTGTGATCTTGCACTTAGTCACCTGGGAGTACATGGACGGGGGTCTAAAAGTATTTTGTGAAGAGCTTATTGTTTTGCTGGGTTACATGAGTCTGTGTGTATGTGGGATGTTTGGTGTGTGTGCGTGTTTCCTTCTGCACGCCCATGTACATATCCACTCACATGCCTGCATTATATGAATGAGCTTTTCTATTTGCAGGTCCCTTCCAAACACTCCAAAATTTAGCACACTCAAGTACAACTTATTTGTACAAAGCGGGCCTTCTCTGTCTTCACATATTTCATTGTTTAAACAGTGCCTCACAGATAGGGCGAGCTCCGAGAAACACAAGGTATTTCTATGTATGTCATTTATATTTCTTGAGTTTTGAAATCACGTGGATACAACTGTGCAAGGATCGTCTTATATCATAATTACTGCTGGAGTCCCTACAAGATGAAAATTAAAAGAATATGGATGTAGGCAGTGGAGGCTTATGCACTGCTCAGTGATTCAGGGAGTTGGTCAAACTTAATTTGTGCCAAAAGATCCCAGGAAGAGAGGGGATTCTTCTCTTCTCAAAAGATAATGCTTCAGAGTCTGGAACGAGTCGCTTCTCAGCCCTATAGTACTAAATGCCTCTTCCTCTTTCATTCCACTTTGTGGCAGTATTCTGGTGGCTGAGAATAGACTCATGACTGCCACTGAGCCATAAAAGAGGGTCGATGGCCTCGACCTCTGCAGCAAATGGAACCTTCTCAAATCCCCTTTTCCAGGAAGGAGAATCACAAAAAGGTATTCACAGATGTAAGGCAGTAGGCAAACCCTCTCCCTATACAGTCAGTGAGGGACAACTTCACAAAGGTGAAAGCTACTGGAGTCTCCATGCAGGCAAAGCAGAAGCTGGATTCAGGCTGGAGGACCAAGGAGGCAGGGGGCTGGATGCAAACTCTAAGGGACATTCCTGGGGAGCTCGGCCATGGGCTAGCCTGATGAGTTCTGCCGTGGTGCCTCCTGAGGACACAGAGCATGTGATGTATATGCCCCTCACCTCTAGGATGAACCCTCACACTTCACCTGTGGTTGCCTTCCTGGCCTCTTTTTCTTTACCTCCTTGATCTGTATCCCCCCCCCAATATTTTGTTGTTTTAGGATTTTTAAAAACCTGTTTACTGGCTTATTTACTTTTAATTATACCAGTAACATACAAACACATTCTGGTTACAAAATATTCAAACAATACAGAAGTATGTAGAGTCAAAACAAGCTTTTTTACTTTACCCCCAATCTTATTCTCTTCCCCTGAGGTGATTACTGTTATGAGTTTAGTGTAAATTTTTTCTAACTTCCTCTCTGAGTGTACGTACATTCATAAATACACTCATAAATATATAGTTTCATTTTAAAGAGTCTTCCAAGGCAACGCTTGCACCGAGAGCTGGTTCAGTCCCTTTACCAGCTGCGGAGACTCCCATTGTATATATGTCCCATGGTGTGTTTAAGCACTCCTATGTTGTTGGACAATTAGGCGATTTCCTTATTTTTTTCCTTACTGAGAATATGCAGTAAAATTATATGACCTGAAGCTTAATTCCTTTCCCTGTCTCCTTGGCAAGATGCACATTAATTGCACTGCCTGCCACATCCTCCACTGGAGCAGTGTTTCAGCCCCACCTCATCCCACCACGCTCACTGCTGTTTCCGCTTAGCTGCATCGGAGATTCTACTTGAAGCTACTGTCTTTTGCTTGAGACAGAAGTGACCTGCTCTTAAATAAACAGGCATTTGAAACCCACCCCCTCGTTACATTCTGAAAGCCAGAGGTTGCCACAGGACAGTTACTTAAATCAAGACAATTTCCAGGCAGGAAGAAGATGTAGAACCCTGGCATTATTCCTCTCCCTCGTTTGTTAGTAATAGCTTGATTGAGTATTGAGAGCTAGCCCAAAATGCTGCCATCAGCACCGACTACCCTTTAGATTAGCACACAGCTCCTATTCCCTTGAATGTAGTTAGGCCAGCTTAATGTCAAGGCATAAAAAAGATACTTGTTAAAAAGTTTCCCAAAGCTCCAGCACAATCTTTAATTTGTTTTTATTTTTTCCTCCTTCCCTCTAGTTCCTCAGTCGCACTTTTGTGTCTCTTTTTTTTTTCTTTCCTCTCTGCCGAAGGGTACGCCATTAAGTCGGGCTGATTTAAGGGCCGTCAACATCAACCTCTGTGACATGTGCGTTATCCTGTCAGCCAATCAGAATAATATTGATGATACTTCGCTGCAGGACAAGGAATGCATCTTGGCGTCACTCAACATCAAATCTATGCAGTTTGATGACAGCATCGGGGTCTTGCAGGCCAATTCCCAAGGTAAGGGCAGCCTGTAATACTCCTCTCCTGTGCCTACAGGGGACAGGGGCTGGCAAGAGGGATATCCTTCACTCAGTAATTCAGAGGGGCTCTCATCGGCCTGCCTGGCAGTGGAACTCGTGGTCAGTGTGATGGCATTCAGAGGGGCACCTGCTGCCTCTTCTCACCGTCCCTGGGTGCAGGCTTGAAGACGCACATTCGGAACAGGCTGCCTTCCCAGGCAGTGAAACAGCCTTTCCATCGCCACCGGCTCAGCCTTTTTCAAACAGGGGCTTTATGACCAGGGTCACCAACTAAATGTCAGAGCACTGAAAAGATGCTGGCTGAACAATTCCCAATGTTTCTCCCCAGAATATATCTTTGCCATTGACCTGTTCTAGCCTTGCTATTGTTATAGCTTCAAGGGTGTTTTAAGCTTAAATTATTTTATGCTGGCCAAGGGATGGTGACCCCGGGGGAAAGGGGACTATGTGGGCACTAAAAGTCATTTAGCAAGGGATGGTGGTCGTCAGCCCAGCCATTCTCTGTAAGAGGCACAGCAGCGCTAAATGACACATATCTGCCATCTCTGCTCTGCCCCAGTCTTCCCTGTTATTTTCTCCAGGATCTTGGGGAGATAGCTACACATAAAGATGTCATCTAGGAGTTTCGGAGAGACAGCATGGGAAAACCCCCTCGACAAACAACCTCTCTAATCAGGGCCTTAGCAGGATTGGATCTGAAGCATTTTCCCCGAAAACACATCTCTGTGTAGGCATGCACTAACTGTAGGATTGTTGTCCTGTCTGGCCTTCGGGATGGATGGCATTCCAGGACCAAAGGGAGAGGGAGCACAGCCCATGAGAACTATAGCTGCTGGAACATAAACACCGTCATACTGATGGGATAAAGCGTGGCTTCCTGCAGTCTAGACCTGTGTGCTAGGTTATCTTTTGTCAACTTGGTATCACCACCATCTCCTTTTAACATCTCTTTAACATTGCTGCAAAGCTGGCAACAGTAGTCCCTAGAATCCTTTTCCTTGCATGGTTCTGGGCTGGGATCTGCCAATGAGAGGGGCCCTGGGAGAAATCTGGAAACTGGAGAAAAGGTGGCAGCTGCTGCTAGATCCTGAGCAGATGTGAGGTTCAAAGCGGGTCTTGAGAGCCTTCTTTTTTTTTTTTTTGTATTTTGTTTTCTTTTTTTTTTAAATTTTATTTAGTTATTTTTCAAGTACAGTTTTTTGTCTATTTTTCCCATCCCAGCCTCCCCTGCCCCTTGCTCCCCACCTCCCTCCCATTTCCTCCCCCCCTTAGTTCTCGTCCCTGTGTCCTTCCTATTTGTTCCTCCAAATCCCTCCCCCTTTTTCCCCTTAACTTCCCTTCCTTCTCCCCTCTGGTCACTATCCCCTTGTTCTCTATTTCAGTGTCTTTGTTTTTTGGGGTTTTTTTTTTTCTGCTTACTTGTTTGTTTTGTTGTTTAGCTTCCTGTTAAAGGTGAGATCATATGGTATTTGTCTTTCAGCACCTGGCCTATTTCACTCAGCATAATGCTTTCCAGTTCCATCCATGTTGTTGCAAAGGGTAGTAGCTCCTTCTTTCTCTCTGCAGCATAGAATTCCATTGTGTATATGTACCACAATTTTTGGATCCATTCATTTACTGATGGGCACCTAGGTTGCTTCCAACTCTTGGCTATTGTAAATTGTGCTGCTATGAACATTGTGGTGCATAGGTTCTTTGATATTGATGTTTTAGGATTCTTAGGATATAATCCTAGCAGTGGGATTGCTGGGTCAAAAGGCAGGTCGACTTTTATTTTTCTGAGAAAAATCCATACTGTTTTCCATAATGGTTGTACCAGTCTGCACTCCCACCAACAGTGAACTAAGGACCCCGTTTCCCCACAACCCCTCCAACATTTGTTGTTTGTTGCTTTGTTTATGATAGCCATCCTGACTGGTATAAAGTGGTATCTCATTGTGGTTTTAATTTGCATCTCTCTGATAGCTAATGATATTGAGCATCTCTTCATGTGTCTCTGAATGTTCTGTATGTCCTCCTTGGAACCAGTAGCTTTGGTGCTGGGGATTGAGAGAAGGGGTGAGGGCTTCTCTGGGGGTCTGAGATTCATAGCGTCTTAGGCTGAAGCTCAGGAGAACCTTCCATTTGGTGTTGCAAGTGAAATGGCTAACAGGGGCCTATTGGACTTGCTCCTACAGCCTTTCCAATGGTTGTGTCAGCTTCTTCATACTTGGAATAGAAAGGCTTCTGTTCTTAACATAACCCTGCGGGATACAGCCAGAGGCCCAGTTTTGACCTCTCCACTCCTCTGCCTCTCCTGCAAATTGAAATCTTGGTATCCACTTTCTCATCTGTACCCATGGGCAGAGAAACGTGTCAAAGCTCTAAGGGAGAGCTCTTAGCCACCCCATTGCATACTGAGAGGCAGGGAGCAGAGGTGTCAAAGGATGTGAGGAGACAGTAAGCTGACCCAGAAGGTAGAAGAGGCAAGCTAGAATTTAGTTCTGCCCTTAAGTGCTTGTTCTTTAATGTGGGTCTTCCCACTCCAGGATGGGCATCACCAGGACCTTGTTAGAAATGCAGAATCTCATGCCCACCCAGACCTACTGGGTCGGAAGCTGAATTCTAACAAGCTCCCCAGGTGTGCACGGCTTTAAAGTACAATAATCTATCTTCACACTAACAAAACAAGGTCCAGTGAACATGTTGACCAACCCATTCAGACCCACCTCTTCTCCAGGCAGAAATCAGCAAGGAGAGTGGGAAGAAGTGGAAAGAAGTGGGAGAGAACTGAGCTCCCTGTGGGTTGAGATGGGATTGAGCAAGAGAGACAGGAAAACACCCTTTCCCAGCATGCCTATTTCCATCCAATTCAAAACTTGTGATTTTAGAGGTCCATGAATCAAAATCTTAATGTATAATTTAGGTACATAGTTGACTCTTGAACAGCAGAGGTTTGAACTGCATGGGTTCACTTATATACAAATTTTTAAAAATAACTGTATAGTACTATAAATATATTTTCCTTATGATTTTCTTAGTAACATATCTTTTCTCTAGCTCATTTTATTTTAAGAATATAGTATATAATATACATAACATGCATAATATGTTTTCATTGACTGTTCATGTACGGGTAAGGCTTCCAGTCAATACCAGGCTATATTAATAGTTAAGTTTTGGGGGGAGTCAATAGTTATATGTGGCTTTGGTGGGATGGCTCAGTTGATTGGAGCATTATCCCATGCACCAGAAGGTTGTGGGTTCAATTCCCAGTCAGGGCACGTACCTAGGTCACGGGTTTGATTCCCAGTCACAGTGCATACAAGGGGCAACCAGTGTTTCCCTCTCACATTGATGGTTCTCTCTCTTTCTCACCCCACTCCTCTAAAAATCGTTAAACATATTCCTGGGTGAGAATTAGAAAAAGTTATGTGCGGGTTTTCAACTGCATGGGAGGTCAGCACCCCTAACCCCTGCATTGTTCAAGGTTCAACTGCATATATGTTTAACATGGGTGTTCCAACATGGGAGCTCTTGTCAGCCAACCACAGCCTCTTAGACCCTCTCTGATGGCCAAACTGGTAAAAAAAAAAAAAAAACCCACCCCCTCAGCTTCTCAGATACTCACCCAAAGCTCAAAAGCCTTCTTTACTGTGTTTAGCACAGAAGCAAGTGAGAAAAATAGGTTTTAGTGGGAGATAAGGAAGAAATGGGGAGAGTTCATTCTTCCCACAAGAAAAAGAGAGAGGGGACTCCTTTTGTACATATGCACACGCACGGACACACACGAGGCAGAGCATGTGCTCTGTGGTGATTTTCTTAGATTCTTGGTTGGCAATAGAATGGAGCGTGTGCCCACCAGTAACCGGCAAGCAGTCTGCTCTGCTCTCAGTGAGAGTCTGTGGGAGCTGGAGGCCCACCAAGACCGTATTTCCCTCCTTTTCTTGCTGTGTCTGCTCTTCTCTTGTCCTTGGTTTCTAACATTCTTTTCTGGCAACACTCTGACTTTCCAAAAGGCAGTGGCTTGGCAGTGGTTGTCAACATGGGATCTGACTTCATCCCCCACGGGTAGGCTTCGTAAGTTCACCTTTGGCTGCTCCCTGTGCAGCCCACTCCTCCGGTTCGTCCCAGCCTGTGCATCAGGTGGATGAGCTGAGTTCTCTGATACTCTCGCTCCCTGAGACCCTTTTGACCGACTGGAGTGCTCACTGAACTCGGATACTTTCATTACCCTTCACCTGGGTATTTGGCATGCTTCAACTGGATTGGAATTACAAAGTACAAAATGGGTTTCATATTACTCTAAGTGATAACTACATAGATTCCTGCCCACTGCCCACCAGTTGTACTCATTGTTTATTCTGTAGTCCTTGTGAAACCCCATAGTTCATTTTGTTCTGAGAGCTACATTATGATCTCTCTAGCAGGACAGAAATGTGGATGTGGACAGGTGTGTGTGCTCTTGGACCACTTATTCATGCATCCTTATGGAAAGTTTTTCTACTGTGATACAATGTAATATGAAAAATGTGTCTTAACATTGCAGAGGTAGAGACCTCATTGGGATTTGTATTCAGATGCTTGACCCTGTATGTTACTTGATTTCCTAGACTAACAAAACTTACCTTCTTTCCTTTCACGTCTTCTTTGGTGTCACTATTCTAGTTCACATGGTGTGAGAATTGACCCAGCCTAGGGATTTTGGACCATACACTTTCTAAAATGATCTGAGATGTGATGGCTGGTTGTCAAAAACAATTATAGAGTGAGGTGGCATACCCCAGGCTGATGGTATATCCAATGTGACAGTTGGGTCTATGAGATGCAGTTTTAATATACAGTAGGCAGGACTGCAGTGACAATTATATAAAGCAGGTGAAGCCGCTTCTCGCTGGTCAGCAAACAGCAGCTGAGAACCACTTTATAGCTCTTTACCAGCAACTAAGTGCCCTTATTTACAGAGCTCCTGTCACTTCCCTTTGGCTGGAGAGCTGG